GGGGCAAATGTAAATGATATTTTTGTTGTAATATAAACTCTATTTTGTCGGTTTGTCTATTCGTTGTTTCCTCTTTTGGTTATTGCATGACATTTGTGCCTCTATTGGGATGTTGCTTCGATTATCGTCGAAGTAGAATCCCATCATGGTTCGACCAAGGTTGAACTAATATCGATGGCCTTGGCCATTAGGATGTTGCTTCGACTGTAGTCGAAGTAGTATCCCGTCGTGATTCAAATGAGGTCGAACTAATGTCGATGGCCTTGGCCATTAGGATGTTGCTTCGACTGTCGTCGAAGTAGTATCCTATCGTGGTTCAAACGAGGTCGAACTAATGTCGATGTCCTTGGCCATTAGGATGTTGCTTCAACTATCATCGAAGTAGTATCTCGTCGCGGTTCGAACGAGGTCGAACTAATGTCGATGGCCTTGGCCATTAGGATGTTACTTCGACTATCGTCGAAGTAGTATCCCGTCGCAGTTCGAACAAGGTCGAACTAATGTCGATGGCCTTGGCTATTAGGATGTTGCTTCGACTGTCGTCGAAGTAGTATCTCGTCGTGGTTCGAACGAAGTCGAACTAATGTCGATAGCCTTGGCCATTAGGATGTTGCTTCGACTATCGTCTAAGTAGTATCCCGTCGTGGTTCAACCAAGGTTGAACTAATGTCGATGGCCTTGGCCATTAGGATGTTGCTTCGACTGTCGTCAAAGTAGTATCCCATAGTGGTTCGAACGAGGTCGAACTAATGTCAATGGCCTTGGCCATTAGGATGTTGCTTCGACTGTCGTCAAAGTAGTATCCCATAGTGGTTCGAACGAGGTCGAACTAATGTCAATGGCCTTGGCCATTAGGATGTTGCTTCGACTGTCGTCAAAGTAGTATCCCATAGTGGTTCGAACGAGGTCGAACTAATGTCAATGGCCTTGGCCATTAGGATGTTGCTTCGACTGTCGTCGAAGTAGTATACCGTCGTGGTTCGAACGAGGTCGAACTAATGTTGATAGCCTTGGCCATTAGGATGTTGCTTCGACTATCGTCGAAGTAGTATCCCGTCGTGGTTCGAATGAGTTCGTACTAATGTCGATGGCCTTGGCCATTAGGATGTTGCTTCGACTATCGTCGACGTAGTATCCCATCGCGGTTTAAACGAGGTCGAACTAATGTCGATGGCCTTGGACATTAGGATGTTGCTTCGACTGTCATCGTAGTAGTATCCCGTCATGGTTCAAACAAGGTCGAACTAATGTTTTTTGGAAATTTTTCTTTCATACAATGGAGATTAGATTCCATACATACAATGGAGATTAGATTCCGCCCATACAATGGAGATTGAATTCTGTTCATACAATGGAGATTGAATTCTGTTCATACAATAGTGATTATATTTTCTGTGTTGTCCCTGCATTACTTCGACCTAGAGATTGTATCGACAGACCGAGGTAATGAACAATGTTCTGATCTTCGGGGCGTCTCCTTCGCCTCCTCATTAAAAACCTCCCCGGGAAAACCCGATTGGGACAAAACCCGGGTGAGGGAAAAAGAGTACGACTTAGGTGACGTCTTTCAGAAGTGAAAGTACTTGAGGTGGGAGACGTTCCAGTTGTTTTGGGGTAGTTTCCCCTCCATCGTTTCTAGTTGGAATGCTCTTTTGTTTGCTACTGCCACAATGTTATACGGTCCATCCCAGTTTGTTCATAATCGTCCTTCATTTGGATCTTTTGATGCCTGTGTTTTGGCCTTGAGGACGTAGTCGCCAACTTTGAGTGATCGTACCTTGGCTTTCTTGTTGTAGTATCTTTCTACTTGCTACATTTGGGCTACCATTCTTACATGGGCCATGTCTCTTCGTTCTTCGGCTTCATCTAAGTCTTGTAGTCTACTTCCGTCGTTATCTGCCCCGCTTACGTTGGAGTATCTCAGGCTGGGTTCCCCGACCTCAACAGGTATGACTGTGTCGGTCCTGTAGACCAGTGAGTATGGTGTTTCTCCCGTGTTGGATTTTGGCGTAGTGCAGTATGCCCGTAATACTTCAGGTAGTAGTTCGGGCCATAGCCCTTTAGCTTCCTCGAACTTCCTTTTCAATAGGTTCAGTATCACTTTGTTGGAGGACTCGGCTTGGCCATTGGCGGCAGAATGATACGGCATGGAGAGTATCCGTTTGATGTGCCATTTTTTGAAGAACCCAGTCGTTCTTTTTCCAACGAACTAGGGTCTGTTGTCGCAGCTGATTTCCATAGGGATACCAAAATGGCATATAATATTTTTCCATATAAAGGCGATGACCTCCTATTCACGTACCTGAGCGTACGCACCTGCTTCCACCCATTTAGAGAAGTAGTCAGTTAAAACAAAAAGAAAACGTACCTTTCCTCGTCCTGCTGGCAGAGGGCCGACTATGTCCATCCCCCATTTTATGAAAGGCCATGGCGAAGTGATGGAATGGAGGAATTCTCCTGCTTGATGTATCATAGGGGCGTACTTTTGGCACTGCTCGCATCTTCGAACATAATCTGCGGGTTCTTTTTTCATGGTAGGCCAGTAATAGCCGGCAAGAATGAGGCATCAAACGAGGGCACGATTTCCTGTATGGGCGCCGCAGTGACCCTCGTGTACTTCTTCCAGTACTTGACTTGTTTGGTGTGGTCCAAGATATTTGGCTAGGGGGCCCCTAATGTTATCTTATAGATGTCGTGATTTACTAGGTTGTATCAGGTTGCCTGCACTCGGAGTTTCTTGGCTTCTTTTTTGTCTTGCGAGAGTGTTCCATCCTGTAAATAGGCTACAATGCGGTTACGCCAGTCCTAAGTTAGGTTCATAGAAAGTACCTCGACGTGGTCTATGGCTGAGTGAAGGAGGGTGACCACGTTTTCTCTGCTAATATTCTTGGTGGCCGCAGCTAATTTGGTGAGGCCATCTGCTTCAATGTTCTATGCCCTATGAATCTGATCGAGGCGGCATTCGTCGAACTCCGACAGCAGTTTTTGGATTTCTGATTGATACCTCTATAGTGTCTGCTCTTTGATTTGGAAAGTCCTGGTGACTTGATTTACAACGAGTTGAGAGTCGCAGTGGAGTATGAGTCGTCGGGCACCGTATTTGAGGGCTAACTTCAAACCTGCAATCACAACCTCATACTCGGCCTCGTTGTTAGTCATCTCGGGGCATCATGTGGACTGGCGAATTACTTTGCCTGTAGGGACTTCGAGGACGAGTCCTAGTCCCGATCCCGAGGCATTCAAAGCACCATCGGTGTAGAGGGTCCAGAGGTCGGTATATGCGGAAGCGCGAAACGCTTCTTGTTCCGCCTCGAGCAATATTTCTGCGCTGAAGTCAGCGGCGAAATCGGCGAGCACCTGTGACTTAATGGTAGTTCGTGGTTGGTATGTTATGTCGTGCTTGCTTAATTCTATGGCCCATTTGGCAAGTCTGCCTGAGAGCTCAGGTTTATGCAGGATATCTCTTAGGGGGAAGGTTGTTATCACTTTTATGGGGTGACATTGAAAATACGGTCTAAGCTTGTGTGAAGCTATGACTAGTGCCAGAGCTAGTTTTTCAAGGTGAGGGTACCTTGTCTCGGCATTTATTAAGGTTTTGCTGATATAGTAAATAGGAGACTGTGTACCTTTGTTTTTGCGGACCAAGACTGCACTAACTGCGATTTCAGACACTGCCAAATACACAAGCAGACACTTACCCGGGTCCGCTTTGACGAGTAGTGGCGGTGAGGACAGGTACGCTTTTAGTTTCCTCAGGGCATCGACGCATTCCTCGTTCCATTGTAGCACATTGTCTTTTCTCAGTACATTGAAGAACTTGTGACATCTGTCTGAGGATCGTGAAATTAATCTCGACAAGGCGGCTATTCACCCTGTTAGCTTCTGTACATGTTTCTTGCTGGTCAGTACATCTAGTATTGTGTCGATGGCTTTGATTTGATCTGGGTTGACTTCAATTCCCCGTTGTGATACGAGGAAACCTAGGAATTTTCCTGAGGCCACGTCGAAGGCGCACTTCTCCGTATTCAACTTCATCCCGTACTGCCTCAAAATCTTGAAGGCTTCTTTTAAATGGCTAATGTGGTCTTACTTTTTTGTCAACTTTACCAGCATATCATTGATATAAACCTCTATGGTCTTGCCGAGCTGTTCCTTAAACATTTTGGTGACTAACCTCTGGTAAGTGGCCCTGACGTTCTTGAGTCCGAACGACATCACTTTATAACAATAAGTTCCTTGGTGAGTGATGAAAGTCGTCTTTTCTTGATCCTCTTCGGCCATTAGAACTTGGTTGTAAGCGGAGTAGGCGTCCAAGAAACTCAGCAATTCGTGCCCTGTTGTCGCATCGATCAGCTGGTCGATGTGGGGTAACGGGAAGGAGTCTTTAGGGCATGCTTTGTTTAGATCGGTGAAGTCCACACACATTCGCCATTTCCCATTTTTCTTTTTGACCATGACCACATTGGCGACCCATTAGGGGTATTTCGATTCTCTGATGGAACCGTTGGCGAGTAATTTATCCACCTCTTCGCTGACCGCTTCATTGATTGCGGCATTGAACTTTCTCCTCATCTGTCGTACCGGTGGATAGAGTGGATCGACATTTAATCTATGCGTGGTGATGTCCTTTGGGATCCCTGGCATATCTGAGTGGGAAAAGGCAAATAAATCGGCATTGTTAGTTAAGAATTTATGATACTTACCTGGCTCCGAGAAGTTGTGCCCTATGTAAGCCTTTTTTGTGTTGTCAGCGTCGTCCAATTGGACTGGGTTGAGGTCCTCTATAGTTGCCTTCCAGGCTTCTACAATGTCTGGGTCTTTGATGGCCTCTGTTGATGGGTCGGGTTTAGTTCCTGACATGGCTGATTGTTATGCCTCCGCACTTGCACCTTTCAGTTGTTTGGTATGCGTGCAGTCTTGGACGATCCGATAGCATTCTTGGGCGTGCGTGGCTCGCCTCAGATGCTGAATATTCCCCACGGGGTGGGAAATTTGATCACTTAATAGAATCTTGAAGAAACAACTCGCATGGTGTGTATCCATGGGCGTCCTATGATGGCATTATAGGTTGTTTCCTGGTTCATAACGTGGAATGTAGTTTCCAGCGTGACTCCCCCTACTAGGACAGGAAGCATTATTTCCCCGGATGTCCGCTCTACTGCATTGTTAAAACCCGTTAGTATTATGCAACGCGGTATTATTTTATCCTCGAGCCTCATTTGCATGAGGAATCTCGGGTGAACAATACACGCGCCGCTTTCGTCGTCTACCATGATTCTTTTTACATCTGTATCAGTGATGTGTAAAGTTATAACCAAAGTATCATAGTGAGGGAAACACAAACCGTCTGCATCTGACTTATCGAAGATGATACTGTCTTCGAGGTCATCGTACCATTCGTGGGCGACCGTTCGTTTGAGTTTGTGCGTGGTGGTGAACTTTACGTGATTGATTACTGCATCATCGCCGCCGCCAATGATCATTTGTATGGTTCGCGCAGGCGATGGTGGCTTTGGGGGTCCTTGAGATGGGTCATGCCCTCGGGCGAAGTTGGCTCTCCCTTTGTCGCTCAACAGTTCTTTCAGATACCTCTGGTTCAGTATCCTGACTACTTCTTGGCGTAGGCCTATGCAATCCTCGGTCTTATGTCCTTTTTCTTGGTGGAATTCGCAGAGGATGTTGGGGTCCGATTTCATCTTTTGCGGTCATTGTACCTTTATGCCCAACTTCTCCAGTTCGTACACTATCTCTGAGGGGGAAACATAAAAATGATGAGCAGATAATAGTGGAGGCATACCTCTTTCATTTCGAAGGGGTGCGGGGTGTGCCGTTGCAAAGCTTCTGCATGTCGAGGAGGGGGTGCGCTGGGTGTTCGAATATAGGGCTGGTGCCTTTCTCGGTTGAATCATGGTGGTTGATCCCTTCGCCCGTCATTACGTCGATCTCTCCTTGCCTCGATCTGAACTGACGTTAATCGCTAAATCGTGCCATTCAAAGCGTCTTCATATGCCCTTACCTCGGCGCAATAGGCATTATGGATCTCTTCCCATGTGGTGGGGGGTACTTCATGAGTCTGTTGAGCAATTTTTTGGTTGCCTTCGACCCGTTCCTGTTTAACCCATTCTGAAAGGCTGCCACTGTCATCCCTTCTGACACATTTGGAAGGCTCATCCTTACTCTGTTGAAACAAGCCAAGAAATCCCGAAGTCCTTCGCCCGTCGTTTGCCTGACTACGAAGATATCATTGACCCTAGCTTCAGCCTTCTTCGCCCCTGCGTGAGCGGTGGTTAATTTATCCACCATCTCTTCAAATGTTGATATTGATCGCATTGGTAGCTAGGAATACCACATCAGTGCTCCCCCCGTCAAAGTCTCGCCAAACTTTTTTAGCAACACAGATGGTACTTGTTCCTTTGACAGATCGATTCCCTTTACCGCAGTAACATAATGGACTAGATGATCATCCAGGTCTGTGGTTCCATCGTATATTTTCAAGTATGGCAGCATCTTGAAAGTTTTCGGAATAGGATGAGGGGAAGCCCCTTCACTGTATGGTTGTTCGACTAATCGGCCAACATCGCGTTTTGGCAGTAGCTTAGGGGCACCTGGTATTTTGTCAACTCTTTTCCTGATGCTCTTTCATTTGATCACAGAGCGTCTTGTTCCCATTTTCCTTCTCTTCCACTTTCTTTAAGATGGTTACGAGCGCATCGCCACCTGCATCAATGACAGTGCGGGTGTTGCTCGTTCGTGTAGTGTTTGGTTTGCTAATGGTAGTTGCGATTTCTGTAGGTGGTAGGTCTTCGACATTTCCTTGAGGGGGTTTTTTGAGCATGTTGCTCAGAGCGCTTGTCAACCATTCCTTTAATAGTTTTTTGACTGCTGGTGGTGTTTCTCCCGCCGTGGACGTGGAGGCTCCCCTTTCGCGCAGGACCGTTAGATCTCCATGTGGAGAAGGTGAGATTTCCCCCTCCGGTGTAACCCCTTGGTGTTGTATTCTCGATGTCTTCTCTATCAGCTTCGTTGAGGGAGTTCAGGAGGTTGTTTGAGACATCTGCTATCATCTTCAACCTCGCTTCTTTCTCCGCCATTGTTGTTTTTCACGGGGTTTGAAGATTAGTGATTGTCGCTTTCAAGAACCTAGATGAGAACTATGATTTCAGCTATGGAAATCCCCATAGACGACGCCAAATTGTTTGACTCAAAAGATATGAAACTCTTTTTAAGCAAATTAATCAATGATGAAGGGGTAAATCTTAGCCGAAAATAATAAACTCTAGGATGATAATAGTAGAGAGATGATAATAATAGAGAGATGATAATAGTAGAGAGCTATAAATAAATCTTTTTCATTCAAGGATCGTGATTCTCCCCAAAAAATCCCCCTTTTTACAAGGCTTTCATCCTTCTTATATACTGAGGAGTTTTCCCTAATCATAGGAACGACAAATTAAGAAATATCGAAGGTATATTCCCTAGATCCCCTAATATGCCGAATCTACTGCCGATGCGGTAATGTCTCTCCTTCTGCCACAGGGTCGTATCCCTCTGTCGACTCGTAGGTGTTCGGCCGTTTATCGTGCTCACTGTAGGTCGTGGTCGATCAAATTCGGACCCATGCACCTTAACCCCTACAATTAACCCAATTGTAGCTACCCCTTTTCCAGACTATAAACTCTTGAAAATTATTTATCTACAATTATACTTCTCGAAAGCAATAGAAGATACAATTACAGAACAATGACTCAACCTAACCAACTAAAGAACTTAAGCAGCTTCATCTTCGAGGATAAGTTCTTTTGTTGCTTAGTTGGAATACTTGAAAATACCTTCTTGATATGATTGATATTTGCCAAGAATAATTTCTTGAAACTATGTGGATAGCATTAGCTTTCAATAGCAGCAACATAACGCTTAATATACGAGTGAGGTTGGCCAAAAACTTCTTCAATTAATACTCCAAAACCTATAATATTTCGGTTAATACAAACTCTCATCTATGATTTGGTTTCCTTATTTGTTTTCAAATCAGCACGATTTTCCTTTTGTCGCATTCCTTTCCTTCTATGTAAGTGTAATAATATTAATAAAATCTCATTGACCAAGAATTCCTCTTGCCGACATAATACTTATAGCGGACATAATAAATACTTCAAAGAATTCGACTTGTATTAGGAATCAGTTTCTTCCTTCATATCAATACACTCTAAGAGACCTATAGCATGTTTGGTCAAGCTTCTCAAGACAAAAAAGTGCTTTTTTTTTTCAAAAGTGCTTTTTTTTTCAATTTGAGGTGTTTGGCCAAGCTTATTTGGGAAAAAAAAGTGCTTTTGGGAAAAAGCAGTTTCAGAAAAGTAGAAAAAAGTAGTTTCTTTCCAAAAGCAGAAGCAGAAGCAGTTTTGGTTTTTCTTCTTACCTAAAATACCCTTAACAAAATATAGTATATACCAAAATAACCCTTAAACCTAATACTTAGGATATTAATTTATAAATATTTCTTCTTATTTTTAGGAAACTTTCTAATATATAGTGTCTTTAGGGGTGAATGCTTTTATATTTGTTGAAAGAATTTTAATATATCTAACTTATATTAAAAGAATTAAGTACTTTTTAATTTTATTTTCATATTTTACTTAAATAAAATGATTTTTTTTAATTATTGCATGTAATAACAAAATTTTGATATTATTTATTTACTTATAATATTAATTATTAAGTAAATCTATTCATGTCCTTATTCGTAATTTGACACTTAAAAGCACTTTCTAAAAAGCTTGGCCAAACACAAATTATTTCTCAAAAGTGTTTTTCAGACTAATTAGCCAAACACAAACTGATTCTCTCCAAAAGTACTTTTTTCAAAAGCACTTTTCAAAATAAGCTGATTTCTCCAGCTTGGCCAAACAGGCTACTAATTTTTTCACAACTATTTGTTAATCATTAAAACTAATATAAGCTCGGCTCAATAAATTTTTCCTTTTGATAATGACAAATCCATATGCAACTTAGCTCAAACTTCCCACATACCTATGTGTAGTCCCCAGCTTAAGAACCAGATTAATCATTAATAGAACCTGCTTGATCAGCAGCATTGACTTTTGCAAAATGTCTGTTCTCGCATAAGTCTAGGGATTCACCTCCTATTCATTAGAATTCTATGGATGGCTAGGCGTAAGAACTAGATTGGTTCAACATTTTTCCTGGAAATAGACATTTTATGATCATAGTTAAACATTTCAACAAGTACATAGAGACATAGAGACCAAATTAATTGATCAATATATGTGCACATCCTTAATTTTTGCTTTTTGGTATCATCAAAAACTAAAATGTCAGTAGATCCATAAGTGAATAATTAACTATATCAAACTTATGACAACTCAAGTTACACTAACATGCACATAAACAAAGATCCCAAACATTTAATCTAAGGATATTATCCATTTTTGAGAACTCATCGAACCAAAAAGATTTCATTAAACTTTGTACCAATTAAGAATGAAAAGACCCAAACTAACAAAAAATTATAAAAACCTACTAACATTACCACATACAAAGAAAGACAAAATGCAAAATGAGTAACAACAAATAAACTTGTCTTAGTAGAAGGAACTAGGTTTTGACTGGGCTTAAGAAGGGACTAGAGACGAGGTTCACTTGCTAGATGAGGGTAAAGTTTGCGTAAGCCCCAACAACTTTTCAAGGCGAGCCGTGGCAGCTTCTTAATCTTTCTGCATTTTCTCCATTAGCCGCTTATGCTCATCCTTGAAAGAGGCAATCTCCTCATTTAGCTTTTATTCTCTTCCTTGGCATCTTTTAGATCAAGCTGTTGCTCTTATCACCTGGTTCTTTCTCCAGAAGGTCACACTCTTGAAGTGTTGCTCTATCAAACATGTCCTTTTTGGTCCCTTTTTTTCTACTCCCAATATAATGAGATCTTAAAGTGAGCAAATACTTAAGTAACCAGACGTCACATAAGAAAGTGTGTGCTATCTTTTTGATGGATTTGTTTCCCTAGCTCTGTGCATGATCGTGTATGATGGCAACTTGAACAACATGTTCTTATCAAGCACCTCTATCACCGCCATATCTGGGGCAGTAGCCTCATTCCTTCTTTATGGTACAGGCATCACACACTTGTTCACAAATTCGTACAATAATTTCATAACCCAAAATCCCATCAAGTCGAATGTCTTCAAAAATAAAATTGAGCTTCAAGCCCAACAATGGTAGGAACATGGAAGACCTTCAGCTATTTGACAGCATGTTGACGGCTCGAGTTAATCCGACAAATTTCACTTATACAACGCTGTTGAGTGATGGTCTTGCAGGGGAAGCAACTCATGTTAAAGTAATTATTTCTGGGATTGCACCAGATTTGCCCTTGTACAATGCGCTGCTCGACATGTATTCTAGTTGTGGTGATAGTAAAGCAGCTTTGAAAGTCTTCGGAAAAATAAAGAAACCAGATCTGGTATCTTGGAATTCAATGATTTCTGGATATGCAAACAATGAAGATGGAGAGATGGCAGAAGGTAAAAGAGACGGAGAATTGGAGGAAGGTAAAATGAGGAAGAAGAAGTGCGGGTAAATAGTTTGGGGCAGGAATAGTAAATAGTTTGGGTCCGGGCATTAAAGGGTAATTAGTTTGGAATTAATGGATATAAAGTGAGATTTTCTCAATTGAATTGGCTAA